ATTGAACACAAAAAGCTCATATTGAAGATACCACACAGCAAGTTGGTAACCAAACCAGGTTAGGCCCAGAACTTGCCCAGGATGGCCTCCTTGCCCTTGACCAATCTGTCTATCACAAACGAGTCGCTGCGGCCATGGGGAGGGGAGACACTGACAGTCTGAAGCCCATCAGGACCCACCCTGAAAGCTGGGGCTCAGTGACATTTCTCAAATCACACCTGTCAGAATATCAGGGTACTGTTGGTTATAAAGGGGGAAGAAGGCAGTGGAAGGAGCAGCAACAGACCCAGGACAGAAATTTCTTGTTAGTTCTATCAGACCAATGTCGCTGCATCTCCACCGCTGTATCTGTCATACGGAGACGGTATATTTCTCTTCCTGGAAGCAGACTGCTTCTTGTGGCCTCTCCCACCCTGGGGTCAGCAGGGGGCAGTGGAAAGTCAGGAGACCGAGCTCTGCCACTGACTATCTGTGTGCCTTTAGCAAGTCACTTCGCCTCCCTGGGCTTTAGTTTGCATCATCTGAGGGAGTAAGATTAGATCAGGGATGGCTAAGAGGTTCACTCATGGGTTGTTATTTGTTGTTGTTTAGTCGCTAAGTCATGTCTGACTCTTTTGTGGCCCCATGGACTGTAGCCTGCCAGGCTCCTCTGTCCATGAGATTTCCCAGGCAAGAATACTGGGGTAGGTTGTCATCTCCCTCTCCTGGGGATCTCCCCAACCCAGGGACTGAACGCACATCTCCTGCACTGGCAGGCGGATTCTTTACCACTGAGCAACCAGGGAAGCCCACTCATGGGTTAACCCTGGTCAGCCGGTGGGCAGTGCCTGGAGAGATCGCTAAATAGGATACTGAAGCAGCGCCTGAGCTCATGGGAAGGTGATGGGGGTGTGCTCTCCCCACATCAAGGAGTCCAAACTGGTAGCACGCTCTAGGCAACACTTCCTATACTATAGGAATCAGGAAAGCCTGACCTGGGCATTCTTGTGAACCCTCTGGAATCCTAGGACCTCCCTCTTCCCTCAGCTTTGTCTCCCTACTCTGTCTGACCCAAAACTTAGGGGTCATCCAATCAGGATCTGAAGCTAATGGGCCCTTGAACATAGGGGCCTCAGATGGTCGCCCCTGGACAATCCCCCCAAGCTGCCCAGCACCCTGCACTGAGATCCAGAGAGAATCTGGAAGGGAGGGTGTGACTCACAGGTTGACCTTACTCTGTACAGTAAGTGTGTGTTCCTGAGAAAATTGCACTCAAATTGAATTTTTATAAATGGAATCCTATTTGGGCAATGATTTACAACACAATTTCTGAGATACTTTATCTTCATTTTGAAGTAATGTTCCTAACGTTTTAGTTTTAGAACTCCCCTTCCTTTTTTAAGCACCAAGAATGTTCCAGGCTGATGATGCCACAGAAACCACCAAGTCCTACCCCTTCAGTTTCTAGGAAATTGAAGCCCAGAGATGGAAGAAGACGAGCGTTTGTCAAGCAACTGCAAAGTCTCAGGTACCGTTTTAGCTTTTCATATGCATCATGTTGCTCAATTTTCCAACAATCCCACGAGATGGGATGGGTGTCATCTCCTCTTTATCGATGAATAAGGTGAGGTTCAGGCAGGTTAGTCACTCAGTCACGTCTGACTCTTTTGCAACCCCGTGGACTGTAGCCAGCCAGGCTCCTCTGTCCATAGGATTCTCCAGGCAACACTACTGGAGTGAGTTGCCATTTCCTCCTCCAGGGGATCTTCCCAACCCAGGGATCAAACGAGTGTCTCCTCTGCCTCCTGCATTAACTGGCAGATTCTTTTACCACTGAGCCACCTGGAAAGCCAGTGGCTCAGATGGTAAAGAATCTGCCTGCAATGCGGGAGACCTGTATTCAGGGTGACCTGTGTCACCCTACTAGACTACAAGTTCCATGAAGACAAGGACCTATCTCTCATTTCCCTCTGTATCTCCAATCCCTACAGAACCTGGGATGCTCAGTAAATCTTGCAGGACAAAAGAGTGTAGCAGAACTGGGTTTTAAATCCAGATCTACACAAACTCTGAAGCCCAAAGAGCTTCACATCATACCCCAATGTTCTCATGCTTTAAGAATTATTTTTACAAACTATTCCTCAATGGAAAAGTTCTCTGAACTTGCCTTTGAAATATAACATTTTGGAGTTTGTTACATGGGACTAGCACAGATGAGAAACTCTTGTTCGAATAAAATGAAATAAAAAATCCAGATCCAGAGGTAACCATGGCTCTGGAAGATCAAGAAGACTCCATATCCCTTGGAAGAATCTCAAGGGGAGCAAATGACTTGTCCCCAAAAGTTTTCCTGTGACCAGCTTCTCACTAGACCAGCCCACACTGCCAGGAATTGACTGGATCTTAACTGACAAGCCTGGGTTTCCAACACCTGTGGAAGAGCAACTTTATAGCATCAATAGTAAAGTCAGCGGCCCCTTCTTTATGTGCCCGGAGGGTAATTGCTGGCATAAATGATCATCAAGCAGAGCAGGGTGAGAGGCCAGGTAAAGAGAGAGGCCCTGTGCCCTGGGAAGAAACAATGCCACATCTGGGGCTCACTTATCACAGTAAGAACCATAGCAACCACATAATTCCAGGCACCGTGCTGGGTGCTTTGCACTCGATGTTAAGACCCACTTTACAGAAGAGGAAACTGAGGCTCAGAGAGGTTAAGAGACTGATTCTACATCCTCCAGTAACAGAGTTGAAAATCAAAAGTTTATCATTATAAAAGGCCCTTCTTTTATCCCTCGTAATATTTTTTTTATTCTGACTTTGAACAAATATCTACTTTGTATTAATATAGCCATTGCAACATTATTATAATTAGCATGTGCATAGTGTATATTTTTCCATCCATTTACTTTTAACCTGTGTCTTTACAGTTAAAATGAGGTTTCTGTAGATGATATGTAGTTTGGTCTTGCTTTTTTATGAAGTCTGATAACCTCTACCTTTGAACTGAAATGTTTAGACAATTTATATTTAATTATAATCATCGACATGTTTGGTTTAAATTTATCATCTTGATATTTGTTTTCCATTTGTCTCATCTGTCCTTTGTTCCTTTTTCTTTTTTAACTACCTTCTTTTGGACCAGCTGAGTGTTCGTGTAGTATTCCATTTTATCTGTTAGCTAATTAGCTGTACCTCTTTTTTTATTTTTAGCAGTTATTCTAAGGTTTAAAATACACAACTTTAATTTGTTTAAGAAATCTTAAAATACTTAACTTCCATTTCTCCCTTCTTTTCTTTATAGGACTGTTGTAAACACTTTACTTCTATTCATATGATAAACATCGTAATACAAATTATCCTTTAAGGAATTTTTTTAAATGGGGAAAAAACCCTTATGTTTTTGCCTCTTCTGACACTCCTTGTTTCCCTTTCTTCTTCCTTTATGAAAAACAAACAAACGAAAACCACCATTTGTGGTGTGTTAACACATGCTAGGCACAGAAAACTCGTTACCACGTTTAAGTCTTACAAGAACCCTGACACAAGTTACTAACCACAAGTACTAGATGAGGAAACTCAGGAATGAGAGGGAAACACAGCCCTTGAAAGAAAACGAAAGCCGGGATGGGCCCTTTCGGGATGGGGGCAGGGGCCCCTGGGGAAGACGGAGCGGTTAGTTGGAGCATAGATGGGCCTGGGGAAGGAAGGAGAGAGGCCGGGGAGGATCCAGCCTGCACCAAGAGGAGCCCAGGCCACTGGACACCCCCTCCTCGGGGCCCACCCCAGCTCAGCGGGCCCCAGGCCCTGCTGGCATTGCCTTCTCCTAAGGCAATCCAAGGGGAGAGGCGGAAGAGATGGGAGACCGAGACATTCCCGCTGTCAGGGACTCTCAGGGGTGAAGCCCTTGCCTCTGAGCTGGGAAGCCTTCTCTCCTCTCCCTCTGTGCCCCTCGTGGCAGATCCCCACTTCTGTCAGCCTCTGACTTGGGTGGAACGTTCACTGTCTATTTCCTCCCCCAGGTCTCACTTGCCTGAGCACACACAGTCACATACATGTGACCTAGAGCACCCAGAGCTTTGCATTCTGCTTTTTCACATGTAACACATCACCTCAAAGATTTTGCCATGTGTCTGCACAGTCTTTGCTAAGCTCGTCTGGGTTTCCTTTTTTCTTTTACAAAAGTTCTTTTTATCACTGCACGATTCTTCACAGAGAAGGCAGACCCAATGGCCGACCCAGTTCCCAAAGGCCTGCTGTTTAAAAGATTTCCAGTTCTTCCCTGAGGCAAGGGACCCAGCTACCTAGGGCTGTGTTTGGGGTTTTTCTCTGAAGCTTGGGGCACTACACCTTAGAGCCCGGACCTCCTAGTCTCTCCTCCACCCCCCAAAGGTGCCAGGCTCTGCCACGACACCGCCTCCCCCAGGAGAGCTGGCCCAGGACAGGCGGGCCCTCCTTTATTCATTCACTCATTCATTCCACAACTGTTACCAAGCACCTCCTGTGCACACAGACCCAAACCACTCACTGGGAATGGGGCACCCCGGAGATGAAGGCAGCAAGTGAATGGGCAGTTCTGACCTAGGAGAGTTTGCGCTTGATGAAAGGCTGGTGGTCTGGGAGCAGAAGGGCTGCTAATCCTGCAGAGAGCTTCCCAGGGGACATGCCCTCGAGCCTGAGATGAAGAGAATATGTGGGAGGCAGCCAGGTAAGCAGACGGGGGTGCAGGAAGAAGGGAAAGAGCACCGACCGGCCAAGGCCCAGGGGTGAGAGAGTGCACCCTTCCAGAAGCACTAAAGACCCCCCGTGTGATCACAGCCCAGGGGATGAGGTGGGAAACAGCGAGAAAGGAGACCAGGAGATAGAAGGGAGCAGGTACCAAGAGCCTGTAAGCTGTGATAAAGTGCTGGCCGTAACCCTGAGGGCACTCGGGGGCCATTGAAGGTTTTTAAGTAGAGGAGAGACCCGACCAAAATTGAATTGTAGTAAAGTCATCCTGCCTTTTCATGTTCTCTCCCTGGCAGCAGATTGGGCACCAGGGCAGTTCGGAAGAGCCCTGGGTGCATCCTGAGTCAGAGTTGCTACAGGGGACAGAGCAAAATCATTGTGAAGTCTTAGAGGAGAGCAAGGATCGGAGTGGAGGACAGATGACAGCTGGGCTCCTGGTGAGAGGCCCTGAGCAAAAGCCGGGCAGCTGGAAGACCCTGAGCCGGCACATCCCCAGCAGCTGCGAGGGCCGAGGACCCAGGTTTCGGGAAGGTGGGCTCACCGGAACATCCTGTCCCCCATCCCCACCGGGGATCCTAACTGCCTTGGAAACTCTGGCTTCCCATCCCCACTTCAGGCCCGCCCTGCTCCTCCCAGCCGTGGTTGCCATAGTAACCATTAGAGACACCGAAATCTCGCTGAAGCTGCGGAATGGCATTAAGCCTGGCTGAGCGGAGGGTGGGAGGATGGGAGCATATCCTGGTACTCCCGTGGATGGAGAGTCCCTGGCCTCTCTCACTTTTCAGGTCAGAAGGACAAGAAGCCAGCTTTGTTAGAAGTGTGATGGGTTGTGGAGTTCACAGCCCTGCCTCTTCTCTCTAGGCCACAGGCTGACCCTTAACCATGGCCGTTTGCTACGAGGGGCAGGACTTGCTGGCTGTTTTAGTCACGAAGTCATGTCCGACTCTTTGCGACCCCATGGACTGTAGCCCGCCAGGCCCTTCTGTCCATGGGATTTCCCAGGGAAGAATATAGAAATGAGTTGCCATTTATTTCTCCAAGGGATCTTTCCAACTCAGGGATTGAACCCACAGATCCCCTGGAGAATAAAATGGCAACTCACTTCAGTATTCTTACCTGGGAAATCCCATGGACAGAGGAGCCTGGCAGGCTACAGTCCATGGGGTCACAAAAGAGTCTGACTCAAGTTAGGGCTCACCGGAACCCTTCTCAAATGCCTGAAACACAAAAATCTCAACAACTCTTCTTCTGTGAATGCTCTTAGAGCAATAATACAAATACTTCATGTGCAGAGTCTTATCGAGGGCCTGCTACAAGACCAGGAAGTACATGCTCCCTTATATTCATTGTACTGAAGTGGAAACAGAGGCTCTGAGAAGGCAGGTCATTGCCCCAGGTCATGCATCCAGCAAATGGAGCACCCAAGGGAGGCCCCAGTCAGTCTGAACATCTTCTGTAAGAGTCACGATGATTATCTAACAGCTGCCTATGAGACACTTCTTCAGACAGGGAACTCGCTCTCTGAGAGAATAACACTTTGCACTGCAGGGAAGTCGAAAGACAGAAGGTCCTTCTTGACTGTGAGTGGAAGCCAACATCCCTGAGCTAGCCTCTCTTGGACCCAGGTGTGCCACCTGGAACTTGCAGAGTCTGGCTGCCGTGCCTGCCAAGCATCAGACACCAAGGCGGTGCCCTGACCCCCCACCATCCTGGAACAGCTCTCAGCAGCTCCAGAAGTTCTTCCGTAGTGAGCTGTCAGATGGTTGATTAACTGACTGATTGGTGTTTGGAGCTCATTCTGCAGCCAGACACAAGGCTGTTTGTGATCAGGGTTAAGGCTCAGTCAATGGCAGGGACGAGAGGCTGTGTACCTGGCCAAGGTCAAGTTCACCGTCTGTGCCTGGGTCAGAGAGCTGTGAGCAGACTTTCTGCCTGTGTAGCTCCAAAGCCCTTCCAGGGTCACGCTGCAGCCTTGGCTTCATTAGCACACGATGCTCACCAACCAGCTGGGCCCATCTGGTTTCTTATTAATCCAAAAGTGAGATGGAGGAAGCAGCCTTCTAGGGAACCAGCAGTCTTGGATAAAACAGCCTGCAAGCGTGCCAATACCTCCTTCTCCCTGCAGCCAGGAAAGAATCTTGCCCTCCTCTTGGCTGTGACCTCCAAATCCTTCCCTCATGGCCAGACTGCAGAGCTTTGGCTGGTGACCAAGCTGTGCCTCCTGCAGGGGACAGAGGAGAGGCAGGTGGGACAAAGAGCTGGGAGCAAAGGAAGGGCTTTGAGGGAAGGGGCATGGCAGGGGGCAGAGGAAGCGGATGTCATGAGCTCATCCAACGTCCAGCTGCATCCAGCTGCCACACCTGCCTCTTCCCTTTGGGTAGCCAATTCTCATTTTGCACCCTACTTTCCTTTGCACAGGATATTCTTTTTTTTTTTTAACTTTTTATTTTGTATTAAGTGAAAATGAAAGTTGCTCAGCTGTGTCTGACTTCTTGCGACCCCATGGACTATACAGTCCATGGAATTCTTTAGGCCAGAATACTGGAGTGGGTAGCCTTTGCCTTCTCCAGGGGATCTTCCCAACCCAGAGATTGAACCCAGGTCTCCTGCATTGCAGGCAGATTCTTTACCAGCTGAGCCACAAGGGAAGACCATTTTGTATTAAGGTATAGCCAATTAACAATGTTATGACAGTTTCAGGTGAACCGCAAAGGGACTCAGCCATTCATATACGTGTATCCATCCTCCCCCAAACTCCCCTTTCATAGGCTCTTCTTATTATGTAAAAAGGCACTTTTGTCCCAAATCCACATAACCTAATTCAGTTTCCCATTCCCCATCCTTCGTGGCCCATCTCAGGTGCTACCTCCCCTAGGAAGTTGGCCCTGACCCCCTCAGTCTGAATAAACCACTCCTCATTCTGACTTCCTTGGTGGAACCATTGGTGGACAGGTCTAATCATTCCTTTGATACTGTGAACTTCTTGAGGGGAAGGCCCATGTTTGATTCATGTACATTCATCCTTGATAATGCCCAACTCTCGTACAGATGGCAAGTTTAAGGTAAGTATGTATTGAATGGAAGGATACATGAATGGAGGAATACATTTTTAATGAAATGATGGGTTCAAAGTCATAGATTAAATTCCCTGGGAAGCAGGGAGGCAATGTCTGGTGTGCAGGATGTTTATAGAGAGTGTCCTTGGGATCAACACCTGTGGAAGGAAGGGGAAGGAAGCAGGATTGGCAGAGGAGAAGTCAAGCTGCAATGCAGTCTAACAACAGCAGTCTTGGTCAACACTGCATAGAGCTCTGGAGCAAAAACAGACCTTCAGAGCTGTCCTCATAGATTGAAATGGTCAGACCTTTATACATACACGTTCATCAATCACTGGATGTGAGTTGCCCTGGGAAGAGGCATGATCTTCAGCAAGGCAGCTTTCTGTAGCTGAGATAAGCCTTGAAGGAACTGATCTCTAAAGGCTCTTTGACACCAGTCCTCCTAGCAGCTGGGACCAGAAATTCTTCATTGCAAGGGGGTCTGGACAGCACATCACAGTATCTAGAAGAGGTGGACGTGACAAATAATGGACTAAAACATAGTTGGACAGATGGACAGTTAGGATGAAGGGTGGATTCATAGATGATATGTGAACGGATGATTAGATGAGTTGATATCTGGATAAAGATGGATGGATGGATAAATGGATAGATGTATGAATGGATGGATTTATGGATGGATGGAGAAATGGATAAATGGATGGATGAGTGGATGTTTGAGCAAATGAGTATCTGGATGATGGATAGATGAATAAATAAATGTGTGGATGCAGAGATTCATGGATGATGGGTGGATGGATTCATAGATGAATCTGTGGTTGATGAATGGTTGGGAGGATGATTGGCAATAGACGCATGAGCAGATGATGTGTTATCAGCATTTCACGTCATTTAAGTAACTGGACCCTCTCAGTTATTCACCTGCTTTTTCTTTTTGCCTCAGGCAGATTCAATGAGGGCCTTCAAATAGTAGTTTTAGCAAGTGAAATGATCTAAAGAGTGGAAGGGAACCCTTCGGCATCACCACAGAACATGTAAGGGCTCTTGAGGACTGCTACTGGGTGTGTGGCCAATACCTACAACTTAATACAGATGTGACCGCTGCCCCACGACAAACACACACAGGGAGCAGTCAGCAGCAACCTAGACACCATGCATGGTGCCGTGGATGGTGAGAGTCCCTCCCCTGCCAAGAGAAAGGACAAGTCTGACTCAGGGAGGATGGGGGGTGGGAGGTGGTCTCTCTCCTCCCACTAAAGACCAAGCCTAGGTACCCCCTCAGGCCACGTCACTCTTTCGCCTAGAGGGATAAGACTAACTTCTGTCAATGACAGCACAAAGCCCTTCTTTTCATTTAAAAAAATGTCTTATTTTTCTTTTAATTTATATATTTTAAATTGAAGGATAATTGCTTTACAATACTGTGTCGCTTTCTGCCATATATCAGTAAGAACCAGCCATAGGTATACACATGTTCCCTCCCTCCTGAACCTCCTAAAGGCCTTCTTTATACTTTGGGTTTTGGCAACTAATCCCCAGCCACTGCCCATATCTTGATGTCCAACCAGTGGGGGACACTCACAGAGTTGGCTCGGGCCACAGAACAGCCTTTGGAGGCCACAAAGATCAGGGCCATCTATCAGGGGTTGGAGACACTGACCGAGGAAGCTTGCTCCTCCACGCCTGTGGGTGCTGTGGCCGGAGGGCAACTTTCACTCCCAGCAGGACAGAGCCCACAGCATAATTTGGACCAGGGGAAAGGCCCACATCTGGGTGAGGGGATCCCCTAAGATGATTGTCCCTCCCTCTCTCCCTGGGCCATGCTCCTCCTAGCTTGAGATTCTTTTCCCTCCCTGTAAGATACTTTTCCAAAGCTAGAGGTCCTCCCTTGCAAGGCAGTGAAGCTGGGTCTTCTCTGGTCTCCAGAAGAGACTTAAGATGGTGGAATATGAGAGCAGGGGGGAAGAATAGTCCTAACCCCCTATTCATTACGTGAACCCACTGCACAACCTCCCAGCCTCAGCTGACACACTCTCCCGGTGACTGTACACCTATGACTTACCTAGGCAAGCTTCTCCATTCTAGAGCTGCCGTAATTGTTTAACAATTCTTCCTCTTATCCCACCTTCTATCTCCGATCTCTGGGGCTTATGGTCAGAGAAAAACAAGCTGGATCTTTCTTAAACTAGAAGCAGTTCTAGGGCCGACAATCACCTTTTCTCCAAACCATATCCATACCTCATACAAACAACCTCCCTCATCCCTTAAGACAATGTTCCTGGCTACCTGAGGCCTGCTTCTTTGACTATGTTCCGCTTTGTCTCTTTTCTGGCACCCAGTGGAGCTCAGTACTGTCGGAGTGGCAGACCAGATGGGAGACCAACAGAGCTCTCTCCTCCTTTGTATTAATCCAGGCACAGAAGGTGGCAGCGGTTTTCGCAGCCACGTCATTCTACTGGTGCATTATGACCCCGTGACAGCTAAAATCCTGGGTCATTTTTACATTTGCTACTGATAATCTAGGTGCCCTCCTGTTCAGTACTGCTGTAGAGGTTTCTTTGAGGGTGCAGTGGCAGGACCCCTCATTATTCCTGCTACATCTCATCTTAGGTTTAGTCCATCACTCAGTCCCACGAAGATCTTTTTAGATT